AATATGAGGTAAGGATAAGGGTTAGGACCAAGGATTTAGAAAGACATAAATTATCACTTTGCATGCAAGATACTAGGAAAAAATTCTAATAGTTCGAGTTATCAAGTTATGAACCTGTGCGGAACACATAAACCCTAGTTACTTTTATTAATTGATTAAAATCCAACTGTTAAAGCTGTTAAGTGTCTCATTCAAGTTTGTTTTTTATTTCCACTGATTTAGAAATAGAAACCCTCTTTATATGTTTTTACTTTCCAAGGACGTCATTAACAAAACAATAGTAATAATATGTTGTAGTTAAGTCTAGACTTTTTTTCCTCGTAGGAACAATCCCAACCTCACTAGTTGGGTTATTTACTTGGCACGACCGCTTTACTTCTTATTCGAGAAGTAAGTTTCAGTGTATCAAATTGTCCAATTTGATGATTCTACCATGGGTTCTTTCATGAATGATTTCTAAATATTGAATTATGATATAATTGATATTTTATTGATGATTTCAATATAAATTACCTATGAACCCCTGAATTTTTTTGAACCCTAGTTTTCGACTATAATGTGGGTTACTTGATATTAAGCTAATAATGATGAATTGGTGTGTAGTTTCTTATGGGATTTCTAATGATATAAGAATAACATTTTATTGTTACCTAATTGATCCTATATTTTAAAATATAGATTGAAATAATGAAGATTTCATTGGATTTTATGATTGTTGCTTGAATTGTTTGTTATGGCCTTGGGTTAGGGCCTTGTGATGTTGAATTAGTTGATTTATCATTTAATTGAAGAGTGAATAAGGGAATGAAGCTATTATGCATGTATTTATTTAATTTTATATTAATTATACTTTGATTCAATAGTGATTTGTATGGTCCACTTATGTTGGCGGTGTTATGTGTTTTACTTGCAATTGGTCTGGCCCTATCGGCGTTACTTTACGCAACATTATGAGCATGGCCTTATTAGCAACTACTTTAATGTATGTGGATATTTGTGTTTTTAATTATGTGAATCATGACATTATCTATTGATGTGTAAATTTATATAGTCATATATGTATTTCTTCTAGTTAGTTTCCTTAAGTGATCCTGTTAGACTATGACTTTGACATTATAAGTATAGTATTAGGGTAAAGTCTTGGTTAATCCTTATTGACTTTATGACCCTATGTGGAGTATATTAATGATTTTATGATGATATATATGATGACTTGAAGATGTTAGGTTGTTTTAGAGATTCTTCTAGAATGACTTGTATTATGTGTTAAAAGTGAAGTATATGATATCTTGCTTGATGTATATATGATTATCAATATGTGATCTCTTGATTTAGAGTGTTATAGATCTTAGTCTAGAACGTATGAATTTCATGTGACTTTATATAATGTTATGAGAGTCTCTTATGTACAAACCGTGACTTAAGGGTAAGTTTAAGAATGATTGAAGTGTAAGCCGTAATAGTATCCTTCAAAGTAAAGGAATGATTGACTTAAGGTCTGTTGGCTTGAATGACATCA